ACGGGGTCATCGACGAGATGGACCGCAGGGCCAAGAGCGAGGCTCCGGCCATCAGCTCCGCCATCGACCGCGGCGACACGGAGACGGTAGGCGCGCGGCTATGGAGTTGGGACTGAGAGCTGGGACCTGCTGAGGCCGGCCAGCGCCTCTGCTCCCCGAAGTTTGGGGAGAGTCCTTCGAGACGCACTGGACCGAGGCTGGGATCCTCGGTTAGGGTTCGAGGCCCGGGGGCTCCAGGCTCGGCGGAACCTTCTGGGGCGGAGAGGGAGTCAAACTTGAAACCCAGATCTGGACCCCGAGGGTGGAGGAGATCTTTGCTCCAGAAGTGGAAACCCAAGGCCATCCTCTTCTCCCCTGGCCAGGCGCTTCAGTCTACAGTCCTGTTTTTTCCCCACTCGGCTGCTGGCACTGCCGCTGGCGCCTCAGGAAAAGGGAGAACCGGTAGGAGCCCTGTGGCTCTAGCTGGCTTGCGTCGCTTTCAGTCTCCTGGCAATCGGGCTCTCTCCCTACCTCAGTTTCAGGGCCCTGGGACTTCTGGACTAGCAATTTTCGTTGATCGTATCCATGCGCTCCTGGCCGGCCAAATTTGGCCAGGCAATGGTTCGGAGTTCAGGCTCCGGCCTGGCTCCTACCGCCGACAGAGACTCCATTAGGTTTTCTGTACCTGGCTCCGCCATCCCGGCCCCAAATAGCCTCCCCCGGGGCCAGGCTAGCAGACGCTGCCTAAGCAGCGGCTGCAAAGTGACCTTTAGAGACCGAGGAGGTGGGAAGCCTGGCCCAAGCTTCTCCCTTCTAGAGCGAGCGCCACAGCTCAGTGACCTCCCGGTTTCCCCTGAGCTCTTCTTCCTGGATAAATCCCGCTCTGCTCCTCAGTTTGGTCAGGAAAAGATTCGGATTGGGCCTGCCTTGCACCCTCTTGGAAGGTGGCCCTATTTCCCACTTACCCTTCTCCCAAGACGTAAGTAGGACCCAGCTGGTGTGGTAGAGGAACCAGAAGTTGCTGGACCTGCCTGGCTGAAGCTTTGGTTTAAGGACCCAGGGACTACTGAGGCTTGGAGCCAGGAACACTGCTGCCTTTCTGAAGAGTGATGTGTGTGCAGCGAGATTTTGAATACTCATCTTACTTTACCCCTTACCTCTTTCCTGGGGCCCAGCGCTTTTAATAAACAGTTTGAAGAATTCCCTTGGAGTGCTTACTGGAAGAGCCCCCTTTATCCTAATACTTAAAAGCAACGGGGACATTCGGGACCAAGGGCAGGAGGGCAGGAATAGAGAGACCTAAGGCCTGAGAGCAATTTAGAACTGGAAACTGGGACTGCTGGCTTTACTCGGTGATTGTCTGGAGCTGAGCTGCGCAGCTTGGGCCCTTAGCTGCTCAGATTGGGCCTGTTAGATGAAGAAAATGGGCTGCCCTTCCAGACTCCCTCTGGGCGAATTTCAAGGCTAGTCCGGGCCAGTAAAGAAGCTCAGGGAGGGTTTTCTTGGTGGGAGAGGGGCTGTAGGCTGCGGCTTAGTGTTCTGTCTTCCTCCTTTTGTAGACCATGCCATCCATCAGCAGTGACCGAGCTGCGTTGTGTGCTGGCTGTGGGGGCAAGATCTCTGACAGATACTACCTGCTGGCCGTGGACAAGCAGTGGCACATGCGCTGCCTCAAGTGCTGTGAATGCAAGCTCAACCTGGAGTCTGAGCTCACCTGCTTCAGCAAGGATGGAAGCATCTACTGTAAAGAAGACTACTACAGGTAGATCTTACCCAGACCCCGCGGGCCTCCGGGGACCTGAACCTCCTTTCTTTCCCTCCCAGCAGAGGTTGCCCTACCAAGACTCTCACTCTTCAAGCCAGCACCAACCAAATTTGGTGACAACTTTCTACATTAGCAATTTGAGGCACTCTTGGAAAGAATCGTGAGGTTTAGGAACAGAAAAGCTGAAGTGAGCCCCCTCTCTGAGTTTAGGATGCTCAAAAACTCAGCTTGGGTGGTGGAGGTCTTCACACTTTTTTCCCTTTTGAAGTTTCTTGACTCAACCAGGAGGGATAGAAATAAACACCCCAAGACTCTGGCGGCCTGACTGATATGAAACAAAGTTAGAGGGAGAGGAGTGTAGTGCAGCAGTTCTGGGTCTTTGGGGGTGGCGGTGGTAATAAAAGTTGGCCAGGGTTAAAGAGTAAGAGCCAAGGTCCCTCTTTCTTCTCCCCAGCTTTAGAGTTAGGGTCTATTTACATATTCTTTCTGTGTGTCTCTGTCTCTATTTCTTTCTTTCCCCATCTCTGTTTATTCCAAATTACAGCGGTGTGTAGGATTCCCAGGTGCTGGTCTGGAGGGCAGGGGCAAGGGTTGAGGAAGGGGTAAGTGAGGGAATTTCTCCCCATTCTAAGTAAAGTCTTTTGTAAGACTTGCTCACATTCTGAATACAGTAGAATCTCTTGTGGGTGTGAAGATGGTTAAGGGAAACTATTTCAGATAGGGCCAGGCCAGGCCTGGGTTAAAATCTAGTTCCCTCTCTACTAATTCTCTCAGTCAGGTCTAGGCTGTCCATCTTGAGGAGGGTACCCCCCCCCCGCCCCAGTGGCAGCAGCAACACCTGGAGCCTGGAGGAGGAGTACAGGGATATGGGGGATATGGGGGAGATATCCAACCATTTGTCCCCACAGCCCCTCCCTCCTTGGTCCCCACAGGCGGTTCTCTGTGCAGCGCTGTGCCCGCTGCCACCTGGGCATCTCAGCCTCAGAGATGGTGATGCGTGCTCGGGACTTGGTTTATCACCTCAATTGCTTCACATGCACCACGTGTAACAAGATGCTGACCACCGGCGACCACTTCGGCATGAAGGACAGCCTGGTCTATTGCCGCTTGCACTTCGAGGCACTGCTGCAGGGTGAATACCCGGCACACTTTAACCATGCCGACGTGGCGGCGGGCGCAGCGGCTAAGAGTGCAGGATTGGGCGCAGCCGGGGCTAACCCACTGGGTCTTCCCTACTACAACGGTGTGGGCACTGTGCAGAAAGGGAGGCCGAGAAAGCGCAAGAGTCCTGGACCCGGGGCGGATCTGGCAGCCTACAATGCCGGTGAGTGTAAAACCGTCTGAAAGCCTTGGCCGCGTTGTGGGAAAGATTTCAGTGTGCTTGGCTTACAGCGGATACTCTGGCCCCTGACTTTCCAGGCCCTACGCATCAGGGTGCCTGGTAGAAGGGACTTTTTAGCCCTATGATTTCTAGCCGGTGCTCCTTAGACTGAAGTGTTAGGTGAGAATGTATTAGTTCATTGGTGATCCAGGTGCAGGACCTTGTCGCAGAGAAATTGTATTTTGGAGACTCCTTTGGTTTGCCTAGCGCGCTTTGCTGTGCAGAAACTGCGGGAAAGAAAGCAAGGTTGCGCCGACAACAAACAGGCTCCGAGTGGCAGAGGGTAGGGAAACTACCAGAGCTAGGCTGCCAGGGTCCCAAGAGAAAAGGCTGGCGGCGGCTGAGGGCACTATTGGGTTTGGCTTGAAGCCGGGTCATATGGAATGTCCCCAGGGCAGCAGGCTTAGAGCGGTTACTCCTTCTGTCCAGCAGGATCCTTGGGCACCACCAGGTCTCTGAGATTTCCTTTCCCCTGCTAGCAGGCAGCTCTTGCCCAAGAAGCTGGAGCCAGAGAATCCTCCCAGTGGGCTGCAGGGGTCTCAATTCGCATTTCTTTGAAGTGCGGGCCTTTCCTGAGAGGCTCTTTCGTACCCCCTCACCAATCCCGGCTCTGGACAGTGGTGGAGGTTCTAAGGCCCTGACCCATCGCCTGACCACAGGGCGGGGGAAGGTTTAGGACTCGCCTGGCTTCCAAACTAGTTTATTCGCAGTTTTCCCCCTCTTAAGTTTGTAACAACAAATCGACTGCTGAGATTTTTTTCTCCCTCCCTTTCCCTCTAGTCTAAAGCACAAGATGGGGTGTGTGTGTGTGGGGGGGGTGTGCAAACCAAAACAAACCCAAGGCTGTAGAGTGCCTGCGGTGAGGAAGGAAGAAGTCAGGGTCGTTAGGATTTTCAATAGTCTGAACTGCTTAGGGAGGGAATGGAGAACAAGTGGAGTAGGTCCTTTTTCCGCTCCAACGAAATTGCTGTATAGAGGGTCCTGGGACCGATTGGGGAGCGGGAAATGTAACCCCCGGTTGGATGAATGGTAAAGTTGGTTCAACCATTTAAAATTTGTCGAAAGTACTGGTATAGATGCCATTCTTTAGAGCTCACATCCTCATCAGTCAAGCCCTAAAATAAAGAGTAGATCCGGCGCAGGCCCATTTCTACCCAAACCCAGCGGCCTCTATCAGGAGTGTCAGCCCCCTAAGAAAGCGTGTGAGTCTGCTTCAGGGTCCCTGGTGTGTGTGTGTGGTCTGATTTTTTCTTTTTTTAACACACCAGGTTAGCACCCAGTTGTGATTGTGCGAAAAGAGTGAGGTGTTTCGAGATTTAATTTTGTTTTTTGTTGCTCAGCCTAATCCTTCCCAGGAGGCAGCGGGAAGATGTGGCTGGTAGCTGGGTTCCGGAGAGGCCTCTTTGCTACCACATTTTCCTCATTGGCCCCCACACTCTTTCCTGTCCGTCCTTTCTGTTCTTTTCTTTCCGCCTCTGTGTTTCTCAGTTTGTCTGTTCCTCTTGCGTACGCGGGTCTCGGACCTTGGCCCGCCTGGACTTTAAGTCCTGGGAGGAGCGGCGCTCGGCCCACAGGCAGTGGCTGTGCGGCTCACTTATTCGGGGCTCCCGGGACTAAGCTGGGAAGCGAAAGTGACTCTTTTTGTTTGCTGGATCCAGCCAGGCTTCCCCAGACCTGTCTTTTGCCTCCTTCGTCTTCTCCGGGCGCTGGCCGGAGAGAAGTGGCTGCAGTGTGCGCCGTGGGGCAGCTGGGGCTGTAACGCGGAACCTGGTGGGTGAGGCTGTGGGCTGTGTGTGGGGGCAAGCGCGTGTGGAAGGGGAGCGCGTGCTTCTGATCGCGAAGACACCAGTGTGCTTGTGTAAGCGCCTGGCACCTAGGGGCCAGACATAGAGACACTTTGCAAACCCGTGCTCCAGGAGACTGTCTTGCCAAGGGAGGTGGAGCTGGGCGCTGGGGGGGAAGGGGTGCAGCGGGGGTTACTGGGCCCGGGGCTCCAGGAGAGGGGAACCAGGCTTTGGGTCGCAGGGTCGCAAAGTCCTTCGGGGCGGGAGCCGCGGCCGCCCTCCTCCCGTGGCCAGAGGCAGGATACAAATCTTCCCGAACCCAGAGTAGGGCTGTCGGTCGGGCGGGCGGGGTGCGCGATCGGTGGCCGGAGCCCGCTAGGGGCCCCGGGCGTGCACTTTGAGGCGCTATTTGCGCGATACCGCCGCCGGAGTCGGGAACATACCTGCTAGTGGGCCTGACCTGCCCAAGCCCCAGCTCTGTGTGCGTGTGCGTGCGTGTGTGTGTGTGTGTGTGTGTGTGTTTGTGTGTGTGCGCGCGCGCGCGCCTGGCAGCGTAATTACTGATTTGATTCCAATCCATTATTTAGACAATTGAACCTACAGTCTCGTCTTTAGTAAAATGAGGCGAAGTCAGATTTGATTACAGGTTCAGTCCCAGCGACAAGAGCTCGAAACCCGATGGGTTAATAACAGATCACGAGTAAATTATTCATGATTTTACGAGCTCTTTAGCTCCATTGAATCGGCCTAATTGAGAGGAAAAAAGGGGGGGGGAAGCCCTGGTCCTCCCCCCTCCTCTCAGCCCCTCGCTCCTCCCGAGACTCGATCTTGGGGAATCCCCACACAGCCCCGGGCTTTAGGGGTGTGTGTGAGGTGTATCTGGGCAAGGGCGCCTCCTTTGCAGTCCTGCATCTTTGTGCTCCAACCCCAGTCTCACCGCCCGCAGGGCCTTGCCCTGGCCACCCTTGGGCCGCTCCTCAGCTCTTCTCTTCAGGCTCGACTTCCTAGCCAATGGTCGTTTGGAAAAGTCTTCTCCTTAGGGTGCTTGTCTCCTTGAGCCCCGGGATTAGTTCTGTCACGAGGATTCCCCACCACATATCCCCCTTATTTCCGGGACTCCCCATTCATCGCCCCCCTCCCCCGTGTCGCCACAGCTTTCTCCCTTTTCTTTCTCTATTTCCCAACTCCTTTCCCTTGGCTCTGTCCATCTTCCCGCCCCTCCCCCTTCCATTCTCTAGCTTTCTATCTCTGTCATCTCTGTCCTCCCTCCCTCCCTCCTTCCCTCCCTCCCTCCTCTCGGTACCACCTTCCCCCACAGTAAGCTCAGGGCACCTCCCTTGGGCCTACAGGGCGCCAGGGTCCCCACGGAGCTCATTAACAGCAGTGAGGCCCAGGTGGGGGCTGGGCAGAGGGAGGAGCCCAGAGATTCTCGGTGGGGGAGGCTGCCCCACCCCAGCAGAACGGAGGACTGGGAGAAAGGAGAGGTTCCATTTACTGAGTGGGCTTAGTGGGGCTGGCTAGCGGGAGTCATAGTGTGATCCCCTTTAAATTCTTCAGTCTTGGTGTTCTGGATGGGAACATTGGTTGGAGGAGGAGGGGGCATCTGGATGCTTTGATACACGTGCATATACACCCTGATACAGTGTCACCCCTGGCTTACAGCTTCAAACTTAGAAGTAGGACCCAAATCGTTTGAGTTTTTCCACAGAGGCAGTGGCATTTGGGCAAAGGGCGAGGGAGGTCCCGGATGGTGCATCCTGGGTAGTATTGTCAGGATAGCCACTAAATTCTGAATTGGGGGCAAAATTTTAGGAATGTCCTGAGCAGCATATAAGCCTTAGATAAAATTTTAGTATATTTTGGCCCATGCAGTCTTTGGGACATATCAAAAATTATCTGTTATTTATCAGAAATTCAAATCAAACTGGACTCCATTTACATTTATTTGCTAATTTTGACACCTCTATTCTAGGCATGCACTATGGTGAAAGATACCTTCCCGGTTCCTTAAAGAAGGGGTGACAGGATGAAATGGGAGCTACTGAGGGTTTCTGTGTGTCCTAATCAGCTGAACAGTTACTGACCCAAAGTTTCTAACCCCTCCCCAACCAAGAGCCCTTCCCAGGCCCCAGAAAGCCCCTTGGGGTGGGACAGGTTCCCCAAAGAGCCAGACTTTATCTCTCCTCCCCTGGAGGTGTTCCAGCAGGAAACAGGGGGACCAAGTGTTGACTGGGGGGGGGGGCTCAGCCTTCACTAGTGTGTGAGAGTGACTTCCTTTCCTTGGCTTTAGTTTCCTCCCCTCTAAAGTGGGAACACATCTAAAGTCAGAGCGTAAGGTAGGCATCTAATTATGTTGCCATCTTCCTCCAACTTCTTCCCTTTCCAGTAAGATCCTACTTACTGTGCTGTCTCTGAGGCAGCTGAGCTTCTCCTGACTCCCCTAGACCCCAATTTGCTTCTACAAAACTGGGAACAGCTCACAGGACAGTCCTGAAGATTAAATACAAAATGCAATTCCAAACTGTAGGCTTGGTGCTGGAGGCCCAGGAGCATACTCAGTCCTTTGGGGAGGGAAAGTTGATGGAAATGGAATGAAATTGAAGCTGTTAGTTAGCAACTTCTGGGTACTAAGGGTTTTCCTTGGCGGGTGCTTGGGAAACAAAAGAGTGCAGGCCCACAAACTCTATCAGAGGCTAAGAGGCAAGCTTGCTGGCTTCTCTTTGTGAGCCACAGTCTCAACATCTGTAAAAAGAGTTGCTTTAAGTGTCCAGCAGCTGTGCGCTTGCAAAGAAAGCCTTTTAGGGGCCAGCAAGCTGGCTCATTGGGTCGAGGGGCTTGCTGCCAAGTTCATAGAACCTGAGTTAAATCCCCAGAGCCTTCCCCCACCCACACACAACATAAATACACATAAAAGATAGAGAAAGCCTTTTAGTTCAGCATCTGGAATCCCAAAAGCCATCAACAAGTTTCCACTGCTGCAACTTTTGCAACATGATGGCGTCTGGGTGTTTTGTTTTTCCAAGAATTGGGTTTGAACCCACTGTTTCCTAAGCAGATCACATTTTCAGAGAGCTTCATTTTCTCCATATCCTCATTTCAGTGTTACGGATGCGCACACAGGGCTCCCTGACTAGGTATGTTTGTCAGTGGCGGTGAGGGTGTGGACTCAGACCTGGTGGACCAGGCAGAGTCAGGAAACTCACCTGCGGCTTCTGCGTCCCCTTTCCCAGCGCTGAGCTGTAATGAGAACGACGCTGAACACCTGGATCGTGACCAGCCCTACCCCAGCAGCCAAAAGACAAAGCGCATGCGCACCTCCTTCAAGCACCACCAGCTTCGGACAATGAAGTCTTACTTTGCCATTAACCACAATCCCGATGCCAAGGACTTGAAGCAGCTCGCGCAAAAGACCGGCCTCACCAAAAGAGTCCTCCAGGTCAGCTGGGCCGGGGTGGGGGCGTATGCAGCTGCCAGGACCTGAGGCAGAACCTCACACAGAGCAGGACTTTGGAAGAACCTTCTGTCTGTCTGCCTTCAGCCTTTTCCTCCCTTTGTAGTCTGTCTTAGATTGTCAACCTTGTTGCCTGCTGTCACATATTCCTTATTTTCATCCTCATTTTTTCTGTGTGGCCCTCTGTCTCCATGCTTGATCTTTCTTTCTGTAAACCATTCTTAGTTACCACCTATTACTCAAAACTCTCCAGTTTGCTCTAGTTTTCAAGAGTTTCAGGTGAACCTAAAACCCTCTTGCTTTGTCCCCACCCAAGGGATGGTTAGTGGCACAAGTTGTCCTCTCTTGCCTCTTGCCTCCATTCATTCTTTTCTTTATTGAATTTTCTTCTGGCAGCTCAAATTTATATCCTGGGCTGTTGTTTGTTTTATGTTGTCCATCTCCCAGACTTTCCAGGAATGGAGGTTTGGTGGTGTGCCTATAGATCTGCTGGGTGTAGAGGACGGGGGAGGTAGGGGCTGGCCGAGGCCCAGGAGGGGAGGTGGCTTAGTGCTTTTGGGACCAATGGAATTTTAAGGGTGCTTTCTGGATTGCAGGACCTGGAACTTTAATGGGATTTCCACACACCCAAAGATGTTGAGAACTGTAGTCTGGGGCCCAAACATGTGGCACCATGTGGGGACAACAAATTTCAAATTTTCTGCTCTTCTGATACTCATACCCAGAGCTAGACAAACCTCTTAAGTCTCCTGGGCCTCAATTTACTCTATGTAAAATGCACAGAAGTCACCCACCCATGCCACAGGTGTGGGGGGGTGCTACTGGGGTGTTGCAGGTGACAAATGAATTAACATGCTTTATGCTCAATAGATGCTAGTTAAGGATAACATTTAGTTTTGTGATTAACTCTGAACAGTCCTAGTTGTTAGACCTCACTTATCCCATCATACAAGGCAGAACACCCCCGCACTCCCCAACCCCCCGGCTTAAGAGAAAGAAGTTTAACCACCCCCCCACACTTATCCCATCATACAAGGCAGAACACCCCCGCACTCCCCAACCCCCCCCCGGCTTAAGAGAAAGAAGTTTAACCACCCCCCCCAAAAAAAACCAAAACACAAAAATCTGCAAGACTATGTAACCTGAATGTGTTGTCATAGGTCCTGGGATTGAAGTCCAGGCCACCGTGGTCCTGGAGATCAAAGCTGAGAGGTTGACACTGAGGAAGTGACAAATCAGAAGGCTTGTGCAGCCTGTCCTAAGAAAGGAAAACAAAATGAAACAAAACTCATGGGGTTGGCGGTGGTGGCGGTGGTGGTGACAACAGCTGGCTGTGATTGTGACACAGATCTCAGTGATCTGTAGATCATGTTGGCGCCTAGAGTCCTGTGGGTGCCTGGGCAGTCTCTGGGCACCCCTGCAGCATTGGGCTCTGGGAACAGGTAGTGTAGTGAAGGAGATACAGGACATCCAAAGGCACACATACTGTAGTCTTTGGTTCCCCAGGCCTGGATTCTGGGGAACACCTGCGGCTTGAATTTCCTTCAGACTTTTCTGTCTTTGGGCTAGGTCTGAGATCCTCCGTGGACACCTCCTGCTGCCCCTCCCTGCTGTCCCAGGCCCTACTTCCTTTAGTTCAGGGCCAGCCTGAACTGAGGACTTTTCTCTGGTTAGTAGTTTAACTCTTTACAGATTCTTTGTGGGATACTGGAAATGGGGGAGATCTGGAGTTCAGAAAAACTTGGCCTCAGAACCACCCCCGGTTTATTTTACCTGCTGTGTGTCTTGGACAAATTAGTTACCTCCTCTGAGCCATAGCTTTCCCATTTGTAAAAGGTTACCAAGTAGGGCACATCTCTCTCCCAGCTGTCTAGGTTAAATGAAAGTTCACAGTTCAGTCTTCATACAGAGGGTCTGATCCTGTTGGCCTGCAGGCAGAAGGAGGATTTACAGTTTAGCTGTCTGTTACTCTTTCATCTGACTGAGTATCTCCTGGTGCTAGGTGCTAGAACACTTGGAGGAACTGGCCTTGATGCCATTCACCTGTTGGATATAGACAGACAAGCACACAGTTTCCCCTGAGTGTAATCAGTGTGTGTGTGTGTGGGGGGGGGCACTGCACATGAGTGTGTGTGTGTACCTGTTGGATATAGACAGACAAGCACACAGTTTCCCCTGAGTGTAATCACTGTGTGTGTGTGGGGGGGGCACTGCACATGAGTGTGTGTGGGGGGGGACACTATCACAGTGTGTGTGGGGGACTGCACATCAGTGTGTGGGGGGACACTATGCACTCCATGTTAAAGTTACCCCTCTGCACAGTGCATATGAGTATATGATGGTCCCGAAAGCCACCCTTTGCTGGTGACCATCCAGCCAACCACAGAGTATCCTCTCCTTTGAGCCACCTAGGTTCACTCAGGACATGTAGGCTAGGGGAGGATCTCTCTTCCTGCCAGACATCAATCAATCTTCTGTGCAAATCCTTTCTGTTCCCTAAGAGCCTAACTGGTCATGATTGCAAATCGTCTTTCTGGCTGTGCATCTCTCTCTTCTTCATCTTTCCTGTCTGCTTTACAGTTGAGATTTTAAGACTCAGCAAGATATAGTGACTTGCTGTGAAATACAAAACCTGGGCACTGGCAGGGTAGAACGTCTCACCATCACCCTGACTATCAATGGGATCTGGGCTGGGAGTTATTTGGGGTGAGATTGATTTGGGAAGTGATGGACTGGTTCATATCCCCCCTCAGTGTTTGGTACTTTAATTCTTCCTCTCTGGCCCTGAGCCTCCACCTGTGAAATCTGAAGAATAACTTACACACGGGGGAATCTGACTTTAAAAGAACATTTAAATGCCAATGGTTAAAACCATTTTTTCCTATCACTAGTTAGTTGTCATTAGCCCAGGAGAAAATTCTGAGGGGTGCAGTAATAACATGTAGGGGGGATGTTCTGAGCTGGTACAGGAAATAGTGAAGGCTTCCCTGAAGGGAAGGAGATTTATAAAATGGTCATTGTCCTGTCTCGCATTGGACAACTTCAGGGTGGACGCAGACACGCTGGGAGGGGGTTTCACAGATGACTTGCTTTGAATCTTTTGTTTCATTTCTTACAGTCAAAGGGATCCAAGCCAGGATCTTGCACATGCTAGATCTCTACCACTGAGCTCTGAAGGAGAGGCTACCCCAGCCCAGAGAGGTGGAGAAACTCCTCACTCACAACAATTTAATGACAGATCTGGGGCTACAGTTAAGAGCTCTTGAGTTCTATTCAGTGCCCATTGTTTTTAGTTCCTTTAAGAAATCTTTTTTAGCCGGGCAGTGGGGGCGCATGCCTTTAATCCCAGCACTCGGGAGGCAGAGGCAGGTGGATCTCTGTGAGTTCGAGACCAGCCTGGTCTACAAGAGCTAGTTCCAGGACAGCCTCCAAAGCCACAGAGAAACCCTGTCTCGAAAAAAAAAAATCTTTTAAACGTTCACAAAGTAATAGAACCACCATTCAGACCCATAAGACAAATAGGGAAGACATGCCACTGTGAAAACACAGGCCCAGTGATTCATAATTTTGAGGCTGTGTGGTCAGGGTGAAGGATGGGACTTAAAGGGATCTACATCTTAGTTCTGCCTCTTCCTGGCTGTGCCTTAGTCCCTACATCTGTAAACTGGCACTAATACTCAAACCTACCTTGCCGGATTACCACAATGACCATGAGCTAAGATGGACCAAACACTCAGAGCTCTGCTCAGATGGTGCCTGGTTTTATTATGGAGTAAGAATGCCCACTGTTGTTATCTTCTTCATGAACTGTAAAACCTAAGGTTCTAATTGGGTTGTTATTTGTTTTCAAAGCAGGTTCTTGTTTTTGAAATACAATCTATATCTGGATGGCCTTGAACATGATAGGTAGCTAGGATGACCTTGAACTCCTGGTCCCTCCTTTCTCTGCCTGTCGGCATGTGATACCCCATCTAGTTTATGCTGTGCAGGGGATTGAGTCCAGGTTTGATGCATACTAGGCAAGTACTCTATAGATGGAGCCAGATCCCCAGGTTTTGGGGGTGTTCTTTCTTATTCTGTAGCTCAGGCTGGCTTGTCACTCACTCTGTAGCCCCCAGAAGGCTTCAAATTCATGGCTATCCTCTTTCCTCAGCTTCCTGCATGCTAAGAGGCTGTAATTCTTCATACTTCTCTTTTGTTGTAAGACATTTCCCCAAAGCTTGGTGGAGTGGCTGTATCATGCTTCCCAGGCTATCTGGTTGACACTGGATATAACCATTGACGTGCTAAGAAATGGCATGGTATCTCTGGACATGAGGCTTTACCTTCTGATGGATTCCTTAGTGTTCCAGGATATTTGCTGGAGGGGGAGGGGCTGGCTTGTTTTGTCATCCAGGCTGTCTTGGAACTCATGATCTTGCAGTTTCCTTGCTTTTGCCTCCCAAGTGCTGGGATTACAGGCATGTGCCACCATGCCTGTCTCCCCCAGCCTTCTTGATGAAAGCAATCTGAGGAAGGAGGTTAGTGAGCAAAACAACTCCTCAGACAGTGGGAGCCTGGACAAGGGGCACACCACAATGGTGTATTTCCCCTCCCCTGGCTGAGGCACTCACTTATCTGTGTCCTGATGTTTCTGTGCCTGAGCTTGGCCTTGCTGTTTCTAAAGTATAACCCCAGAGCTACTGTGTGTAGAGAGGAGCTTGAGGCAGCTGACCAGCTAGGACTCTGGCTTTTGGAGGATGAGTAGGTGGAGCAGATCATGTATGTGCTACTCACAGCTGCCCTGGGATCCCAGCTCATCCAAACCATAAGAAGCCACAGAGATGTGGTAATGTGGTGTGTTCCAACCCACTTTCTGTTCATATAGGTAACTGAGGTAGACCCAGAGGAAAGGGACTAGTCAAAGTTCACTTGACTGGTCAATGACAGAGCCCAGCCTGTAATGCTCTTTCTACTGCCAAAGTTGCTTCATTCATCCATTCATTCACTTGCTGACCTACTCAGGGTCATATGGTAGGGAGAGCATGAACTTTTTTAATGGCAAACAGTCCTGCTTTCGATAAGCTTAGCCTTGGTGTGATCATAGGTAAGTAACTTAAATCTATAAAATGGGACTAATAATAGAAACCACATGCCTGGCTTGTCTCAGGCTTTAACCAGGGATGGTACAGGATGGCAAGGTACCTGATCCACAACACAAGTCATGTTAGCGTCATCATCTCTCATGTGAGCCCCAGCAGCAGCATTATGCATATTACCAATGTTTAATCTTCATCTTCTGTCATACAATTAGGGTTGGACAGGGCCCTGCCTTCAGCATTCTTTGGGGAGGGGACTTTTTGAAATGCCTACAGTTGGATTTTGGTGAAGCCTCACATGGACTGAGGGTTACAGTTGACTTTAGGTTTCCATTGAACAGATTCCTAGTGCCCGGGATCCTGTAAAGCTGAGAAGGCAGCTGTGAAGATGGTGTCATTGTTTACAAATGAGCTGTTGGGGCAACGCCTGGGAAATAGCTAACAGGCGGCAGCTAAGGGCTTCCAGCCTTCCCAAGGGCCTGGAGCCCCTGAGGATGAACAGTGAACCCACTCCCAGGACCCAAAGGGCTCCACTCCAGCTCCCGCCCACATGTTCAGGCCAGGACAGTGGCTGGGGAGCAGCACCAGGCCCTGGCCTTTCTCACTGCTGACCTTCATGTGACTGGGAGGAAATCTCTCTTAGCCCTGTCTCATCCATTCCCCAGCTACTCCCCAGAGCAGATGAACAGTCTCCCGCTGCAGACTCTAGAGCCAGAAGGGCAGGGCTTGACTACATGGGCAATGCTGAGGGTGATCTGCCTCACACTCATCTGCTAGCCTCCCCCCACCCCAAACAGGACTGATAAGCTTTCTTTAGGCAGAGAGCTGAAATATGTGCTTTCTCCTCGAGGGGGATCTGTGTTGTGGGGAGCCAGCTTTGTTCCTCATGAAGTGGGGAATATCTCTCTCTTTCCTGCCAGACTCAGCTGCTAATTGAGCCTGAATTGTGTCAGGATGTCTGAGGGGGGCTTGAGGCCACAGGCTTCTTGCAGCTGGGGTGGTCCTGAGGGTGAAGTCAGGAGCTGGCTCATCCCACCCCTGCCAGAGACACTGGGAAGACAGGCAGATGCAGACACATCTGGAAACATGTAACTGGACAGCCTGAAGTCTTCAGAACCCCCAAGGCCCTTTGTTTTATGGGGAAATGTCTGGCTAGGGATTCTCTTACGCAGAAGGAAGTGAAGGGGCCCTGCCTTTTGGACTTTTTCCTTTGGGAGGAATAACTACCCCAATCCTCAGTAGTGACCTGGTTTTCCTGTGCCTCCTTTAAGCACTGCTTGGGCCCCTGGGTACCTCAGGGTCTCTGCATTGTTGTGGTCAGAGGGCTGGTGGGAAAAGGGTGAGTTTTATGCACATCCTTACTGATATGTACAGGGTATGTGTGTGTGATGTTCCCCAGAAAAAGTGAAAGTAAACCTTCAGTCTGTCTCCCTGGGATTCTCTGTACTCTAGGGCATGACAGATGCAACAAGAGCCATGTATTTGAACAGTTTTAGTGGTTACACTGATAAAATGAATTTTAGTATTTATTGTTTAATCAAATGTGTTCAAAATATTTTATGTCAACAGAAAAACAGTAATCTTTTCCCTTCTTTCTTTCTTGCTAAATCTTCAAGTCTCTTGTGTGCTGTCCTCCCTACACTGTCCACATTTGCCTAGTGGCATTTCAAAGTCTCAGTTTCAGTACCATGGCAAGGGGCTCAGCTCAGAAATGTCCTGGCAGGAAGAGTGACCCAATCATAGCCAGCATGAAAAATAAATTTTAATTTCATTTTTGCAAGGAGAAAATGTGGCACGGACATCCTAGACCTCCCGCTGGGCCATAGTTGGGTTGAACAGCCCAGTCCTTCCTATCTTCCCCTAACCAGTCCTTCTCTGTCGTCCCACACAGGTCTGGTTTCAGAATGCCCGGGCCAAGTTCAGACGCAACCTTTTACGGCAGGAAAACACGGGTGTGGACAAAACGTCCGATGCCACGCTGCAGACAGGGACGCCATCGGGGCCTGCCTCGGAGCTGTCCAACGCCTCGCTCAGCCCCTCCAGCACTCCCACCACCCTCACAGACTTGACTAGCCCCACCCTGCCGACTGTGACGTCAGTCTTAACTTCTGTGCCTGGCAACTTGGAGGGCCACGAGCCCCACAGCCCTTCACAAACGACTCTTACCAACCTTTTCTAATGACTCGTCACCCCCTTCCCCCCAGGTCCCCACGATTTCTTTAAAAAAGAAATTTAGTTGAATTCCAAGTGTATTTTAAAAATAGAGGCTTTGAGCAACTAACTAACCACGTTTTAGGATCTCGCCTGGAAACAGAGGGAATAAAGAATTGTGCGTCGGGCTAACGCATCGGTGTGTGCTGAGGAATTACTTGGGAGATATATGTGCAACACAACATTTGTGTCTCTGTACAGTTTTGTGGACTGAGCGAGGAAAACAACAAATAATTTAAGTTGGCTGAGAGCTTCCGTATTTTCAAAGACTGCCACGTGCCTTAGGAATACTGTTTTATCTTCATACTTTGGATGAATTGTTCGTTTTTTTCTCTCCCTCTTTTTCTCTCTGTATATTTATGACCAGAGCAAAATGTAAAAAAGAAAAAAAAAAACAACAAAAAAAGTTTGTTACTTTGAATAGCCCTAAGGAAAAAAAATCAACCCCCCCTCCAATGGTCGCTTTCTTGTTTTAGAATTTTAAGGTGGAAGTCTGTTCAGATATCAGAATTTGTAAAATCTAACCAGTAATAAAATCACTTATGGAAAAGACTTGGTGCTGATACTGTTTCGTGAATAAGGATGGAGAGCTCTTCTGAAGCCTAGAGACCAGTTCACCTACCTACCAAATGTTTTTGGGTTCATTTCTCTGTGTCAAGTTTGGGCTGGCTGATGGCACTCCAAAGACATCCAAGTCTTGCACTTAAAGATCGACAGTGAAGAGAGACAGCCATTAAACACTGTAATACACTAGTGTGTGTGTGTGTGTGTGTGTGTGTGTGTGTGTGGGTTGTGTGTGTGGGGTGTGTGTGTGTGTGTGTGTGTGTGTGTGGTGTGTGTGTGTGTGTGGTATGTGTGTGTATGTGTGTGTGG